AGATGGGAAGATAAGGCACCTGTGCCCGCCACCCAGGCCCCCCGCCCAGGCGGGGCACCTCTCCCACTAAAGGCTTGTTCCTCCCCATCACGTTCCCTTTTCCGTCCGTGCCGAGAGGCCAAGGATCCAAACCACAGCCCCAGCTCTCCACCGGCCAATGGGTTAGAACTTACCAGGCACCTGCTGTGTTCAGGCCTGTTGAGCTGCTGGGGGTTACCAGAGGATGACAGGCAAAGTATCAGCACACAACGAAAAGGCAAGTAAACAATCACCTTCTGACGTCATAGCCAGCACAAGGCAGATCAGCTGGTCGAGATCAAGGACGGGACTGTGTGAGCGGCGCCCTTAGGGAGGACAGGGAAGGCCTCTCCGGAGGACATCTGGGCAGGGGCCAGGAGCAGAACGGCAGTGCAAAGGCCCTGAGGCAGAGCCCAAGGTGGTTTATTCGAGCACAGGAAGGAGATCTGCCAGGCTGGATGGGGATGGGATGGGGCAGGGGCAGACAACGCACGGGCCTTGCTGTGCGCTGCTGGCTTCCAGCCTGCCCTTCCCAGACCTGGCTCCCTCTACCATGAGAGTCTAGACGGCCCCTCAGGCCCCCTTCTCTATCGGACACGGCAGCACTCTGTAACCCGCGGCTTCCCCCGCGCACGGAGCTGGCAGCCCAGACCCTGGCACATTCTCCGATTCGGGGCCGCCTGCTCACTGCAACACCCTGTGCGTACGCCAGAGGGCAGCACCTCTCGAGGACGCCCCCTCACACATCTGGACCAGTGCCGCAGCACAGCTGCTTCTCCAAAAAGGCAGGTGCACAAACAGCGAAGTCAGAAAGGGTTAAGGTTTAGCGACAGAAAAAACCGAGGCTGAAAAAAATAACCCGAAAGAGAGGCAAAGAGAGACACCCCCGAGAGAGCCCCCCTCACTCAACACCTCCAACACAGAGCAGTCCCACTGCAAGACAGCGCCGCCACCAGGATCCCACTACGTGAGGGACCCGTGGGGGCACCCCGGTGAACGGGCCCCAGCCCTCCCACGTCCACAAGCCTCATCCCTGGTCTCTGGGGACCCTCGGAGCCTGCCGTGTGCAGACAGTCGCCCCCTCCCACATTTGAGACCCCCGAGAGCAGGTGTTGGATCAGTCCCTATTCCCCAAGACACCAAGGGGTCCACCCACCCCCCCAGGAGTTAGGGTCCAAGGCTCACAGGACTCCTCCCCTCAGTGAGGCTCAAAGGCCACTGTTGCCGGGAGGGTGTGGAGCCAAGGGTCGGGTCCCTCTTCCCCATACGGGAGCCAGTGCAGGTCCCCAGGCACCAGGAATCTCGGCTTCTTCCCCCAGAGGACTAGACGCCCAACCACCTCAGCTTCCGCTCCCTTGGAGACAAGATGGATACTCTCGTGGGAGTCCAGGCCCCAACTCCCCTCCCCACGCAGGAACCTGGAGGTCAAGTCCCCGAGCCCCCCAGTCTCTCCTCCCCTCCAAGCACCTGCCCCCACCCTGTTACCCCCAGTAGCCCAGACTCCCACGTCCCCTTCCCCCTAACAGGGACTTAAGATCCTAAGTCTCTTGGGGGCCAGCAGCCAGTCAGGCCCCCAACCCTCACGGTGAGGGCTCAGGGGGCGCCAGCACGGCCTCTGCATCTGCCTGCATCTCATCCAGTGCCTGCAGCAGGACGCCGTGCGCCGCGCGGTAGCCCAGGCCGCCCGTCGCCGCTGCGCCCCCCGCGGGCCACAGGAAGGAGAGCGCGCCCAGCGCCGCGCCCCCGGCAGTGCCCTCGCCCGCCCAGGCGCCCAGCCTGGCTTCCACCTCGGCGCGCGTCACCGGCCCCGGGAAGTGAGTGCGCGCCGCCAGCTCTCCAGGAGCCAGGCCCAGGGCGCGCTCACGTCTTGCCAGTGCCGCTGGTTCGAGCCCCAGCGCCCGCCTCCACTCCGCCAGCTGACCCCGCAGGAGCGCCACGTCGCAGGCCCAGCCCACGCCTGGAACTGGGGCCGCTGCCGCCGCCAGGCTGGCCAGCAGCGCCGGCCGCCAGGCCCCGGCCCGCAGCGCGGCCGCCTTCCTCCGGGCCGCGCCGGGGACGCGGGCGGCAGCGCCAGCAGGAGCGCGCCCGCTTGGGCCGGGGCAGCGCGCGCTGCAGCCACTCGCTCAGCGCCGCGAGCCCGCCCGGCCGCAGGGGAACACGGGCGGCGGCGTCTCCTCCAGCCACCTCCCAGGTCTCATCTTCGGGCTCAAGGCGGCCGAGCCCTCTGCATCCCCGCCGCCCTGCTGCGGACGCCGGCTCCCGGCCCTCTCCGGGCCCTCCCCTGCGCTTGCTGCCTGCCCCGGGCCCGCTTTCTCCCTCCCGTCTCCCGGCGCAGGCTCCACTCGGCCCCCGCCGCCCGGCTTCCCCACCGTCTCCTTCTTCTGGGGCCTCCGGATCCTCGCCCTCGCCATCTGTTCGCACGCAGACGAGCGCCCGTCCGGTGGCACCAAGGCCCGGACCTGGCCCAGTCCTCCTCAGTGGGGGCCCCCGAGGTGACCAGGATGATGGGCATCGTAGTGGGTCGGGTGAGGGGTGGTGGCGGCCGGGGCAGCGCCGCCAGCGGGGTCCAGCGGCACAACCCAGAACACCACGTTGGGGCGCTCCGGGGCCGGGAAAGGGGCGGGCCCAGCGGGCGCGGGCACTGCCCCTGGGGGGCCGGGATCCAGTCCGAGGAGCGCGTCCAGCACGAGGCTCACGCCTGTGGCGCCGGCCACTGCCAGGTCCAGCCGTGCGCTGCCCAGGCGCTCCAGGCCGGCTCGCACCCACGACAGAGCTGCCTCCAGGCCTCCCTTCTCGAAGGCCTCCCGCACGGCCTCCAGCTCGGCGGCACCCAGCACCTCGAAGCCATCCTGGGCCGCTGGCAGGAGCCTGCGGGGGTGGGGGGGAGAAGCAGAGGGCGGCGTTGGGACAATTCCAGAGGCAGGGGCGGGCACCCATGGTGGGAGGGGCTCCGAGCAGCCCTGGGTGGTGTCTGGTTGGCTGGAGGTCAGGTTTCAAACAGAACCCAAGACCAGGTCAAAGCTCCAACACCTCACTGGGGGCGGGGCACACAACAAAGGCAAAATCCTGACCCTAAGGGAAAGCTGGCCCAGGAGGTGCGGCCACGGCCACCTGAAGCCGGTGACGCCAAGGACAGTGAGTCCCAGGCACCAGCACCGGCCCGCCCCGCTGAGGCTGTCCTAGGACGACCTGTTTGGCAAGGGAATCTGGGAGGTCGCCAGCAAACCGGCACAGAAACCAAAGGAGCCGGGACAAGGGGAGCGGGGAGGGCACCAGGCACCAGCAGGGCGGCGCTGTGGCACCGAGCCACACACACACACACACACACACACACACACACACACCTGGCCCACATCCCACCTTGCAGCCTGGCTGCTCCGCTTCTGATCCAGCTCCCTGCTAATGCGCCAGGGAGAGCAGTGGAAGATGGCCCGAGTGCTTGGGCCCCTGCGGCCATGTCGGGGACCTACAGCCTGGCTATTGCTGCCATTGGGAAGTGGACCGACAGGCGGGAGAAGTCTCCCTGGCTCTCTCTCTCTGTGCCTTTCAAATAGGTGCGCACACACACCTTTAAAATCAATCAAGCTCAGGGAAGGTGTGGCCGGGGCCACTTGAGAACCAGGGCCCATAGGGCTCACCAACAAGCTGCACCAGACAGAGCCCTGGTCTGGGGGCAGTGTTTGGATGATAAATCTGACCTCCCCCAGAACTGTCGCTAGGAAGGGGGGCTTGTGACTGGGGAGGGGGTCAGGACCTCCAGGGGTCTTGGCCCCGGGGGCTCACTTGGGGTGCAGCCTCCTGACCTCCCCCCCACACTGAGGGGCTGAGCCTGGAGGAGCCTTGCGGCCCTCAAAGGGCACAGTGACGGGGTGGGTGGGACACCTACAATGGGGCCCAGGCCTCCCCAGCCCAGCCTGAGACCTGGCGCTCACCTCTGCAGCGCCTCCGCCCGGCTCCGCAGCGCCCCCCGCAGGCGCTCCAGCTCCTCGCAGTCCTCGCTGCCAGCCCAGTCCGCAGGCAGCACGAACAGGGCGGCCGCCCCCAGCCCCGCGCGGTCCAGCAGGGCGGCGGTCTGCTCCCGCGTCTGCGCGTCACTCTGCGAAGCCCCGGGACGCAGCGCCCGCACGGCCAGCAGCGGGGCTCCCCGGGCGAGGGCAGCCCGCGCCGCCTCGCCCAGCGCCGGTGCCAAGGGCTCCCCACTGCCCTCGGCTCCGGGCAGCACCAGCACCAGCACGTCGGCCTCGGCCGCCCAGGGCCCGGGCGCGGCGGGCGGGCAGCTCAGCTCGCCCAGGAAGAGCCCGGGGCCTGCGGCTCTCAGCCTGGGCACGCCGGCGTCCGGCCGTCCCTCGGGGATTTCCACCAGGTCCACACTGCTGCACAGCGCCCCGATGAGCGCGGACTTGCCGGCCCCCGGGGGCCCCAGGACAGGGCGGTCACGTCGCCCCTGGGCGGAGGCATGGCTGGAAGGCAAGGGGGGACGGCCGGCCGCGGTCACGGGGCACCCAGACCTCCGGGCCCCTCCTCCCAGCGCCCAGGCCCCCCGGCCCCCGCTCTGCCTCCTCTCCGGCCATTGCCCCTTTCTATCCTCACCCCTCCTCCCTCCCGGATCACCCGCCCGGGAGCGCCGACGCACCTGTGAGCACAGCTGGCTGCGGCCTCGCCCCTGCGGAGCTGGGCTCTGAGGCGTGGGTGCCGGACGCGTCCGCCAGGCCCTGCGCTGACGTCACTCAGGCCGCAGAGACTCGGCCTTCCTCGCGGCGCCTGCGCAGGACGGCCGCACTGCCCGAGAGCCCCTAACAATGCGCGGGCCACAGCGCCTGCGCACGTCGCGCGTAGCGCTTCGGCTTGTACGGCACGGCGGCCGAACGTCATCATAACGCGTCGCAGTGCAAGGAAGGACCTCCGAGCTCCCCCACTGCCCGTTATTTGGAGGCCCGGGTTGGCGACTGTACTACTGCCGGATGGCAACTACGGGCTCGGCTTCGAGAGGCACCTCAGGCGGAAGCTTCGGAAGCTGCGGGAACCCCGAAATGCCACGGGCCCTACCTCGCTTCCCTGCGGGTGGCGGCGCTGTGGGGGCGCCAGTGACAGGCACAGCACGAGGCAGCCTCTGCTGTACGGAGAGGAGCGGAGGCCGGGCGACCCGCCTGGGGGAGCCGGGGGGCCCAGGGCAGTGCTTGCGGGACAGTGAGGCCGGCAGCGCGTGCGGGCGGGCGGGGGCTCTGGGTGGAGCACCCCAGGATGGCAGAGAAGCGTGTCTTCCGGGGAGAGGCAGGCTGAAGGGGTGTGTGCCGCTGAGGCTGATGGCGGTCCAGGGTCCCACGCTCTGAGTTCAGGGAGTTGGTTTGGTGCAGCGGGGTCACAGGTCACACAAGCGAGCAGGCTTTAGGGGAGCCACAGACGCGGGAGTCCAAGCCTCTAGGTTTGAGCTTCTCTGGGGCGGCTCCATCAGAAAGAGTTCAAGGAGATGGGTACATCTTGGGGGGGGGGGTCAAAGGTGGGCGAGGAGCAGCTATGTCGATGGCGGAGGTCGTGGGATTGGCGGGCCCTCCAGGGCTGGGGACAGCCGAGCGGCCTCACTCCTCACTCATACGGGCTCCTCCCTTGACCAGAGGGGCCGCGGTCACCATGGAGGACCCGCACCCTGAGGAGACCTTGGAGCCGCAGGAGTCGCCCAGCGAGAGGCGTCCCGGCCGCCCGGGGGGCCGCATCTGTGAGTACAGGGGCGCCGTCCAGTGTCTGGGTCCGGGGCCTGGGGTGGCCCCTGAGCTGCCCTGCTCTGGCCGCACAAGCGAGAGGAGAGTGCAGCCGGGACAGGGTGGCTTGCAGGAGAGGCTCGGCGGGAGATGCGGACGGTTCAGCTCAGCCCTGCCCTTGGCTTTTCCCGAGACTGGAGCCCCCGTGCCCCTGGGCCCACGGCTGCCGCTGCCCACCGCGCACGGCTTTCGTGGGGCCGCCTCCGGCCAGTGGAGCAAGGCAGGCGGCCGGGCTGACGGGGAGCAGCCCCCGCCCCCCGGGCAGGATGCATTCACCCCCGGGACCTCACTCCGTCACCAAGTGGGCACTAGGACTTTGGGTGAGAGCCGGGGCAGAGAGGTCCCGCGGCCAGGCCAGCGCCTGTACCTGCCCAGGAAGTGTCCCGGGCAGCGTGGCTCAGAGGGCAGCGCGACTCTCGGGGTCACCTGCGGGTCCGGTGACCTCGGTGGGCCTGAGTCCACTCGTCCATAATAAGGCAGGCCCTCAACGGTCCCGTGCAGCCCGCCATGCTCGTCGTGGGTGTGGGTCTGGGGCTTGGGGGAGGCCTGGAGACCCCCGGTGGGCGACCCCGGCCTCTCCGCCTCGCGCAGGCCCCCTGGAGGCCCCGCAGTGCAGCCGCTGCCTCATCACCTTCGCCGACTCCAAGTTCCAGGAGCGCCACCTGAAGCGGGAGCACCCCGCCGACTTCGTGGCCCAGAAGCTGCAGGGGGCGCTCTTCGTCTGCTTCACCTGCGCCCGCGCCTTCCTCTCCTCCGAGGCCCTGATCGCCCACCAGCGGAGCCACGGCCCCGCCGCGCGAGCGCCCCCTGCAGGTGCACCCGCCGCCGCCGCCGCCGCCGCGCAGGCCCGCTTCGCGTGTCCCGACTGCGGCAAGGCCTTCGCGCAGGCCGGCTCTCTGCGGAGACATCGGCAGGTGCACGAGGCCCGCACCTTCGCCTGCACCGAGTGTGGCCAGGATTTTGCCCAGGAGGCAGGGCTGCACCAGCACTACATCCGGCACGCTCGGGGGGAGCTCTGAGTGCAGCCTGAGCCCTCCCCGCGGCGATGGGGCGCTAGGGCTGGTGGGGCCCATCTAAGGTGGGGGGTGGAGGTCCCCAGGGGGGGCTGGGCGCTAAGCGTCCCTCCCCAGGAAGGCGAGGGCTCGTGACGCACAGGACCTGGAAGATTCTGCGCTGTGGAGGACGTGGGGCCCGTAGGGAGCCGTGAGATCAGATCATCGTTGAGAGCTTTTGTTTTTAAAAAATGAGCAAGAGGGAAATTTTATTTTTATCTCCCTCATTCCCAATTAAAGAGCTAGCTGCAGATTGCGTAATCACCTTTATTCTCCCCAGATGGATGCCATGGGCTGTCAGGGCACCGTGCCTTGGATCTGTGCCTGGATGGGGGCAGGGAAGGGAGGCGACGCTACTGGGCGAGCTCGTCTCGAGGAGGGGAGGCGACGTGAGAGCTGCACACCCCGAGGCATTGCGGGGTGGCGCCTGCCGTGGAGGCCTTGTCTCTCCCCACTCAGAGGGGCCCGGCGTGAAGTGGCACCAGCCGGAGACAGCTTAGGGCTCCTTAAAATAATTCTGTGAGCGCTTCTCGTCACGGAGTGTTTTCTGTGCGTGAGCAAGCTAGCAGGCGCAAGCCTCTAAAAACAGGCGCCAGCGGAAGACGTCTGCGCAGGGCAGCTCCGGCTTGGACAAGAACCCACCATCCCCCCAGCACACTCAGGGCCGGGAGGGGGCGCTCAGGGCAGAGCTGGCCGAGCGCTGGAGGGAAACTGGCTTGGAGTCCAACAGAGACGCCGGTGTGTGTTTCCTTCGGCTGGCCTCTGTTGCGATCCTGTCTTCAGCTCTTCCCGGAAGGCCCAGTGCAGGCCTGACCGGCGGCAGGGCAGCTGCCACCCCAGGCTGCGGATGGTCCCGTGGGGCCAGGCCTCCGCCTGCCGCCTGCCGCGCTCCGGGTTCCCGTGTGGAGCGGAGTGGATGAGGCAGACTGAGAGGCAGCTCCAGTTGTGGCTGGGTACCTGGGAACTGGAAAGACGCCATTCCATAGTGCCTTGCGCTAGATGTGGCCATGTGACCTGAGTTCAAGCTGAATTCCTGGCAGAATCCCCAAGCTTGGGAAAAGGTGGCCTCTCCTTTACCTTCTAAGAGGAATGTGGACTCCGCGTGCAGCCATCTTGGCCCACGAGGTCAAGAGCAACACGTGGGAGGGCAGAGCGAAAGACAGCAGGAGCCCAGGGCGTGGGCCCACCTCATGGAGTAGTACCAGCACGGCCCATTTCCATTCTGTTACGCAGGAGAGCAAAACTGTCTTGCTTAAGCCACCGTCATTTGGGGTCTGTGTCACATACAACCCGACAGAGGTCTGCAGACTCCGGCCAAATCGAGCCTGGTGCCTGGTTTTGCAAATAAAGTCTTACTGGAACACAGTCATGTTCATTTTGTGTTGTTGACAGCTGCTTCCGTCTGGACCAGATCTGAGTGGCTGCAACAGAGACCTTGTGTCTCCCAGCCCGCAGTGTGGGTCAGTCTCACCTGCCACTCACAGCTCAAGGCTGCGGAGCCCTGTTCTAACAGACACACACAGCCTGCTCTGGGCCTGGCCACTGCCACGCCGGGGGAGTGCATGGGGGCAGGGCTAGCCTGCATCTCCTGGCTGGGGTGACCTGTGGGGAAACGGGTTTGGAGTCAGTTGGCCATCATGTTCTTCCAAGGTGTCAACTTCACCAACGCTGGGGCCAGTGCTGTGGCACGGTGAGTTAAGTCACCTCCTGAGATGCCACCAGCATCCCCCACGGGCACTGTCTGAGTCCCGGCTGCTCCACTTCCAACCTTGCTCCCTGCTAACGGCCTGGGAAAGCAGTGGAAGATGGCCCAGTGCTTGGGCCCCTGTCACCTGTGCGGGAGACCAGATGGAGTTCCCAGGACTCTCGGCTTCCAGCTGGGCCGTTGCAGCCATTTGGGGAGTGAACCAAACACGTGGAAGATCTCTGTCTCTTCCTCTCGCTCTGTAATGCTGCCTTTCAAATAGATCTTAAAAAAAAGTCACACAAGCAAAATATTTCTCTTGGTACTTGATGAAGGCCCAAGTTCTGTGTTTTCGCACACTCCCACAGTAGCTCCCCCAGGCCCAATCCTAAGGATCTAAGGCCTCCCTCTCCCGAGGTAGACAGCGCCCTGCCCACTCACCTCCCGCAGCCCCAGTGATGTCCAGACTCACTCCAGCCCAAGCCCCCAGACCGGAGATGCAGCCACCTGGCTGGCAGATGGGGTACTGCACAGTTAGAATGGGGTCACCGTGCCTCCGTGGCCCCCGGCCCGCCCTGCGCTCACACTCCCCAGTCTGGCCGCCTCTCCCCACAGCGCAGCCCTCGTCCCTAACTGCTCCCCCTCTGCCTCAGACCAGCCAGTACATCAGCCCACGTGGCTCATCTCGGACTCTCCCGTGGATCCCACAAGCGACATCCAGCGAGCTCACCCAGGCCACAGGCAGTCTGCTCGCTGCCTGCTCTGCTTCCCCGGAGTTGATTCTGCCTCGGGGCCTTTGCACTTGCTGGTCCCTCAGGAGTGCCCCTCCCCAGAACTCTGCAGGCCTACTCTACACCTCGCGCCACCTCCCGAGGGGCCCTCCTCGACCTGCATGCCTCACCCCTGCCCCGAGTCACCTCCTACCTGCAATCCGCGCCTGTGTATCTGTGGTTCTGTGTCCCTCAGCACCGCACCCCAGCCCCCAGCCGGTGCTTGGTCTCTCGGCCTCCGCCCTGCCTCCACACTGTAAACTGTGTCCCACGCTCCTCCATCGGGTGCTGCCTGCCTCGGTTCGGTCCCCAGAGGGACCCGCCAGTCCTATACGGAGGCGGAGTCTTTCCGGGTGACTGCCCACCCAATGCCCCCTGGAGCCCGGGCCGTGTTCAGTGTGCCCTCTCCGGAGGCCACGCGTGCCTCCCGCGGCTCCTGATCCTCAGGAATACTGTGGATTCCCGGTGATTCCCGGTGCTGACATCCCTGACGGCAGAGGAGGGTTAGGCTGCCCTGGGGCACGAGGCCTATCCCACGCTGACCCATGCGCCGTGGCTGGAATGGCTGGGACCCCCAAGATTCCCATGGGGAACCTGAGACCCCAGGTGAGCGCATTCAGAGGTCGGGCTTGAGGAGGTGACCACGACCTGAGGACCCCCACCCCGGGAGCTGCAGGAAGTGGGCCCAGCTCTGCTCACCTACAGGGCACTCACCTTCCTGCCCCTCCCCCGCGGAGTCGCGAGCAGCCCTCCGCGCCCCAATCCCGTCCTGCCCCCCAGCCTCCCAGCCGTGCTGCGCCCTGCTCCACGGCCACCATGACATGACTGGAAGCCCGCAGGCGCTCAGGAGGGGGACACTGTCCACGCAAGGCACTGAGACCCGGGCCTGGCCACTGTGGTAATTCAAGTTCTATTCCTGAAGGCTCTTAGGTGCCAGGCTTCTGGGCGCTGACACGTGGAGGGCCGTAGAACACGCTGGGCACATGGCAGGTGCTCGGGAAACGGCGGCTGTCGCTATGATCAGCTTCTGTTTTCCAAACGGCCCTCGGTGCCTCCGTGGCAGAGCAGGAGCCCGGCTCCGGCAAGGCTGGGTTGAGCTGGCCCCTCCCTCAGTCCCGGTCCCTTCCGGATCCTCTGGCTACCCGACATACCAGGAGGGCTCCTGCCTCCCCCCAGACTGGACGCTTCTTCCCGCCTCCCTCCTCCAGGTCCGCCACCTTCTGGGGGGGGACTGCACTGTCTCGGATGGCAGCCCCTCCCCCGGCTCGTCCCTGCACAGTGCCTGGTCCCCTCTGTCTTCTGGCACGTGGACAGGGATTTTGTTTTATTCACTGGTGTTACTTCCCGAAGCTGTGTTCACGCCCAGCGGGTACGCAGAGCATACGGCATGCAAATTCATGGATGCTGGTCCCTATCTCCCGGAGTTATTCTAAGAACCCGGAGAGCTCATGCAAATGTGGCGCGGCGCCCCGTGTGTGCGGGAGCGGGGCAGCTGTGCTGGCAACAGGCTCTGCTCTGCAAGCTCCTAGACGCACAACCGTGAGACGACACACACAGCCCGGGGGCCGGCCGACACCCAGGACGCGCAGCGACGACGCGCTGCCCCCCGCAGACTCTTGCTGGGTGCTTACCCAGACTGCTCTGCACTTAGCTGCGCCCACGTAACTCATTTCCGGTGAAGCGACCCAAGGAGGCAGCCCCGCGCGCCGAGGACGGCACGAGCACCACGAAGCTCCCCGTGCTCCGCGGCAGGACCCGGCCTCGCTGGTGTGGGTGGCAGACCGAAGGGTGGCCTGGTCCCAGATCGTCCACTCGGTGACAGCAGAATTCCGTGTGTGGCTGGGGCTGGGGAGCGCGGGCCGGAAGCCACCCCGGGCTGAGCACACGTCTGTCCGCTGGGCCACAGAGATCCCCAGGTTCCCACAGGTCCGAGGACGGCGCTCAGACACACATGCCCAGAACACACCGCAAAGTGGCTTTTATTCTGGCCTTCACACATCGACAGGCGAAGACAACACAGACGACGGAGCGTCCCCTCCCCGGCCCTGACCAGCTGTGACCACGCCCTCCGCCCGCCTCCCGCCCGCCTCCGCCCCGCCCCCTCCGGCCTACACCTCCCCGCGCGCGTGCAGCATGAAGTAGCCCGTGCAGCTCGCCCAGGGTGGCGAAGGAGTCCTCGCACTCCGTGCAGTGGTAGGTGCCCTCCTCGTCCTCGTCCTCGTCCTCCTCACTACCTCCTCCTCCTCCTCCCGCCCAGCGGGCCGGCCCTCCCCAGCCCGAGGGGGCTCCTCCTCTTTTCCTCCCCCAGGGCCCTGCCTTCGGGCACGGGGCTTCCTGCGGGGCTGAAGCAGGGCAGCAGAGCCGGCAAGGGGGGTGCCCGGCGGGGCCTCGGCCAGCGGGGAGCGGCCGCAGAGCTGGCAGGGCTGGGCCAGGGGCCCGGGGGCTGGGCTGCGCGCGGGGCCCGGCGGAGGGGCCGCCCCGGCCGCCCCCAGGCGCTGTTTCACCTTGTAGCCCGGATCGTACTCTGGATCATCAGTGGTCTCCTCCTCCTCCTCCTTCGTCTTCCTCCTCTTCGGAGTCGGGCTCTGAGAGAGTGTACTCAGAGTCGGAGGAGTGCTCGGGGCCTGTGGGGGACAGACGGGAGGGGCAGCGGCGTCAGAGGACGGCCGGGCACGGCCCTCCCGTCCCCGCAGGCGAGGGCACAGCCCGGCCCGGGCGTCAGGCAGACGGGCGGTGGGTGAAGCCAGAGAGGGCGGCGATGGCCGCAGCTGCCGCCATCGCCAGAGCCCTGTTCCCAGG